TTTGCATCTCGTCTCAGCTGTCGATTCACGCCATCCTATCGCGGTACTGGCAGGATCGACTCATTTCAACTTTAGACGCGCATAAAAGCCTACCCACACCACTGCCCAAATCGCCTTCTTATTTTAAGACACCAATATTGTTTGTGATAGTTTGGGTCACACTTGTATTTCGTCGTTGATTGCATGGAGTGAGAGTAGCCTCCTTGTCTCACTCATGACTTGGTTTGATTAGCTGTAATTCATTGGTCTTCCGTTGTCGCAGTGAAACGAAGTGGAGGCGTCACAGCGGTGACAGTTTCATTTGCAGCTACGGCGGGAGGAATGGTAAGTGTCATAGAGGAGGTGGAGGAGGATTTGAGGGCAGCACCAAGCAAGTAGGCACCTTCTGCCACCACATCTTACAAAAGCGGTCCAATAATAGCATCTCCTTCTCCAAACCCGCTTACCATTGCAGTAGACGTATGTGGCAGAAAATGGTCGATAGCGAAAATTTGCTGAGTATATGGCATTGAGTATGCTTTTTCAAAAGGAATTGTTTAAATGCGGCGAGAATTGCTGGTGTTGTTTGAACGAACAAGCGGAGCAGGTGTTTTGCATCGCGTGGATAGTTTGAGTGCGGAGCAGATAAATGGACGGGGAAACGTCGACTCCGTGGTGCGATGATGTGTCTTGCAGTGGTTTTAATGGGAGGACATATGCTGATGAGGTGTTCATGGGAGAGTCGCAAAGTGGATCATCGTTTCTATCGCCCAAGCACAGTCACGCAGTGTGGAAACGGCGGAGAAGGGCCTACTTCGATCCTTCAACAACAAACGAAGGGAAGGAGGTTAGGGCTTTGGGGAGGCGGTTGAGTCTGTTGGACTCTCCAATGAGGGCGTACATGGACTTTCGTCTCGCCTTCGGTGAGGAGATGGCGATGAGTTCGCATATACTGGCTAGCAGGAGGCGTTTGTCGAAAAACATATCTGCTAGTCCCAGCACGCTTTTTGGTCCAAGTGAATCGGATGTCCCGGTGTCGGTGAGCAAGAAGAAGCAGCACGAAGATGTAGTGAATGGCCTCAATGAAAGGTGTTATATGAGTCTGTTTGAACGTGTGATTGCAGAAGTGGAGCGGTTTGTAATGTGCGGGGAGGCAACACCTCCGTTGGTGCAAGCGGCATTATCTAATCGTTTCCTTGGTGTGGGTTGCGAGGACAAGGCGGCGAATCTAGATTTGGTGGATCAGACTTTTTTGTATAAT